GCCTGGTTACAAAGGGGCTCTGACTCCTCCCTCTCTCCATACCCCCCCAAGTCTGCAAAACCTGCATCGTGCGCTACCTGGAGACCAACAAGTACTGCCCCATGTGTGACGTGCAGGTCCATAAAACCCGGCCGCTGCTGAGCATCAGGTGGGCCTAGCACTGCCCCTCCAGCCCCTGTGATCCTCTGGGTCAGGCTCCCCTCTGCCCCTCAGCCCTCCTTGTTCCTGTAGCCAAGGTGGCAGGTTGGGGAGGGCCTCTTCCCTCCCTACGGGTTGTATCCAGCTGAGAAGTAGTGGATGGGTAAAGACCAGGCCCTGGAGGAAGGGAGGTGAGAAGTAGGCTCCCTGGCTGGGGAAATGAGGGTAAGAGAGTTATTGATAGGGCCCTGTATGTTTTCTTCCAGATCAGATAAAACCCTCCAAGACATCGTCTACAAATTGGTCCCTGGGCTTTTTAAAGGTATCCACACACCCTTCCTCCTCCTGCCTACTGCTCCTCACTTCCCAGCCTGTTCCTCCCTCCTCACCCTGTGTCCTTCCCTCTTTCAGATGAGATGAAACGACGGCGGGATTTCTATGCAGCGTACCCCCTGACAGAAGGTGAGTTCATGTGTGTGTCGCAGGCACGAGGGCTGGATGCACTGGGCTGTCCATCCGCCAGGCACCACCACACCGCCTCCTTGGCCCAGAGGATGGCTGGGCTCACCCTGCTGAGCTCTGAGATCCTGGGTCCTTGGTGGGGCTCCTTTCCCCTGTTCTAGGCCGGCTTCCTCAGTTCTCTCCTTTTGCAGTCCCCAATGGCTCCAATGAGGACCGTGGCGAGGTCCTGGAGCAGGAGAAGGGGGCTCTGAGTGATGATGAGATTGTCAGCCTCTCTATAGAGTTCTACGAAGCTGTCAGGCAAGTCTGTCCTATGCCTGGTCCTTTCTTTTGGGGCCCTAGGCTGGGTTGCCCCCTTCTACCCTGGGCCCATTCCCCTGGAAAGGAGGGCCTTCCGGATGTGTATACTGGGGAATCCTGCCTGAACCAGGGTCTCCCTAGCTTCATTCTTTCTCCTCTCCTAGGGACCGGGAGGAGAAGAAGGGCCCCCTGGAGAATGGGGATGGGGACAAGGAGAAGGTGAGTGCTGGAGCCTACCCAGGAGTGGGATGAGGGCTGGGAGAGAGTGCCTGGGGTGACCATAGCCCTTGGGTGCCTCTTCCCTGGCAGACAGGGGTGCGCTTCCTGCGATGTCCAGCAGCCATGACTGTCATGCATCTCGCCAAATTTCTCCGCAACAAGATGGATGTGCCCAGCAAGTACAAGGTGAGTCCCTGAGCCCTTTGAGAAAAGTGGGTGTTGCCCTGGCCAGTTTGGTTCAGCAGTTAGAGGTCAGCCTAAAGAGTCATGGGTTCGATTCTGGTCAAGGGCACATACCTTGGTTGCAGTTTGGTCCCCAGCCCTGGTCGGGGTATGTGGGAGGCAACCAATCGATGTGTCTCTGTGACATTGATGTTTCTCTCTATCTCTCCCTCCCACTCTGTTGGAAAATAAATGGAAAAATGTCCTCGGTGGGGATGGGGTGGGGAGTGTCTGTCTGACAATCCCATTGTTCAGGGCTGGCTGGGTATCACCAAGGGCCTACCTGGTTGTGTAATTGAGTCCAAATAGAAGGGTAGTTGAAACCAAGATTAGGGTGGGGTAGTCTGCATCTGTTGAAGCCAGTGTGCAGAGGTACATGGGAACAAGGTGGTGTGTTGTGTGTGTTTACACACTCAGAACAGTGGCAGAGGTATATATGCAAAAACACAGGGTCTTTTCTGGGGCCAACTAGTTGAAGGAAGGCCAGTCTGAAATTCCAACAGAACTCTAGGACATGGCTTCGTAAACCCAAATGTATCTGATCCCTTAGAGATCTTGTTAAAATGCAGATTCTGATTCAGTAGATTATGCTTTTTCAGCAAGCTCCCAGGTGTTGCCAATGCTACTGGTCTGCAGAGCACTCTCTGAGTGTCAAGGGTCTAGGACAGTGGCTCCCGAGCTCTGTCAGAATTACGTGGTGAACTTTAAAACTCAACTCATTTTACTAGTTAAATCAGAATCTCTGGAGGTGAGATCCAAGCATTGGTATTTTTTAAAGCTCCTTGGGTGATTCTACTATGCAGCCAGTGCTCCATGAGATCCTTCTCAACTTGGCCTTTTCTTTTCCATTAGCTTCCCGGGGACCTGCCAGGAATATAAGGGCACCCAGACAGCTGTGTGGATGGCTGGGGGTGGGGGTTGTTAATGATGTGGGTATCTCCTCTGGATCCCTTTCCACCTGGTGGTCAGGAGTTCTTTTGGGACCCTGAAGTAATGAGGGACCACCTGCAAGTCCACTTTGCACCCACCCCAGACTCCTAGCTTGGATCTTCTTTGCCAGATGGCCAGGGCCTTGAGCCTGGCCAGGGTCATGGTGTTCTCCATCTTTTCCTCCAGGTGGAGGTTCTATACGAGGATGAGCCACTGAAGGAATACTACACTCTCATGGACATCGCCTACATCTACCCCTGGCGGCGGGTGAGCAGGGCTGGGAGGGGACCCCTGCAAGTCTGCATTGGTCTGTGCCCACAGTGACCACATGAGCCACTCTACTCTAATCACAGACAGTTCATCTCTTGTCCCATGAGCTGGCCATGTCCAGTGTGGCCCGCCGTACCAGTTAAGCCTCAGGGCTCTCTCTCACGGATGACCTCCCACGCTCAGGAGAAAAGGATCCTTGGGCAAATTACATGCCCCAATTGGGGGTCAGAAAAGAGGGTCCGGTAGCTGTGGAGGAGTAAATGTTGCTTTCTGCTCTTTGGCCACCCTCTCTTTTTCTCTCCAGTCTTTGGTCTTAGGTTCTCTCCCGGTGTTGTGAGCAGCTGTCTCTCCCCCCTTGCTCACTCCGCCGCTCAGTCTCTCTCTGCTAGGTCCTCCTGCCCTGCTGGGTCTTTCTCTCTAAGGCTCCATCCTTTCCTTTCTTCCTCTTTGGGCACTATGGGGTGGAGGTGGGCGGGTGGCCGCCTTTCTCCTGAAACCTTCCCCTCCCCTGCGTCTCTCTCCCCACTCTCCCTGCAGAACGGCCCTCTCCCCCTCAAGTATCGGGTCCAGCCAGCCTGCAAGCGGCTCACCTTGCCTACAGCACCCACCCCCTCCGAGGGCACCAACACCAGTGGGGCGTCAGAGTGTGAGTCAGTCAGCGACAAGGCTCCCAGCCCTGCCACCCTGCCGGCCACTTCCTCCTCCCTGCCCAGCCCAGCCACCCCCTCCCATGGCTCTCCCAGCTCCCACGGGCCCCTGGCCACCCACCCTACCTCCCCCACTTCCCCTTCAGCAGCCAGTGGGGTCACCACAGCTACCAACGGGGGCGCCTCGAACTGCCTGCAGACACCATCTTCCACCAGCAGGGGGCGCAAGATGACTGTCAATGGAGCTCCTGTGCCCCCCTTAACTTGAGGAAAGGGACCTTCTCTCTCCTTTTCCAGCCATGCCTCTCCGCCCCTCCACTTTTTCTGGGCTCCTTTTTCCACCTCTTCTACTTTCCCCAGCTCCTCCCACCTTAGGGGTGGAGGGTGGGTTTTATAAATAAATCTATATATATATATGTACATAGGAAAAGCCAAATATACATACTTATTTTCTATGAACCAACCAGATTAATTTAAATGCCACAGGAGACAAACTTTATGTGTGTGTGTATGTGTGGGGAATGGGTGTTAATTTTTAAGGGGTCTTGTGTAATTTGCTCTACTCTCTTTTTGGGGGTGCCTGGAAGTGGACTGGAGGGGGCACTTGAGGCTCAGTAAAGCTCTGCCCCATCCTTCTATTTCCCAAGGCAGGTGGGGTGTTGGGGACCCACCAGCCCCCAAAGCTTGAGGCACAACTCTAACCAGCTGTGTATGGGTCCATCCTCTCTCTCCATCTTGGCTGTTGTCCTGCCCCGACCCAACCAGCCCCCCCCACACACCAAGTTGAATGTCCAGAGACTTGCTAAGACAGTGCCTTTGACAAATGCAGTTTATCCCCTGGTTCTAAGGAGCGAGTGGGTGGTGGAGATGGTATCTCCCCTATCACCTCCTCTGGCAGTGGAGACTTTGTGCAAAGAATAGATAGTTCTGCCTTTTGTTTTGTTTTGTCCCCCTACCCCCCCGTGTGTGTGGCCTTTGCATCATTTTTCTTGTGAAAGAGAAGATTCAGGCCGTGGGAGGCCTCAGCCCTTGAAATTCCACTGTGGCTTTAGCATTGTGAACTGCTTCACCCCCTTGTGCCCCTGCCCCCGCCCCCGCCCAGGAACCCACACCAGCAAGCCTGGTGATAAAGTCTCACTTGGGGATCTGGAGTGGAGAGGTGGAGCGGGGTTAACCTCAGACAAGCACAGACCCCAGACTTTGCCAAAGGCAAATGCCCTCCAGTCCCCTCCCCAACCCCAGCTGAGGCCAGTCAGGTAAGAGCCTCAGGGGCATCTGAAAGCACAAGAAGACAGACACTTGTAAGCTCTGTCCTCAACTCCATCCTGAGAGGTCAGTGGACCACCCCTGAGGGCCAGACCCCAGTAGATCCCTGCCTGCCTGTTTTCTTCCAATGTACATAGATCAGATCGGGGAGGAGGGGAGGAGGCAAGACTGTCACAACCTAGGTGTTTGGGGTTGGGTTCCTCCAATGGGTTTGTCTGTGTTTGCACCTTGTCCTTTGTCTGAGGTGCTATGACTGTACCCTCCTCCTACCCTGGGACATTTGTATCTCCTGGCTTTGTAATAAATGCTGCATACTCTCCAGAGCCTCTAATTCTTTGGGGCAGAGGGGACAGGGAAAGGATGGGTGGGTCCCCTGGCCTCCTCATACATCTTGTCTCTGGGCTCGGCCTGCCTTGAGACCCCATATAGAACAAACCCGAGTTGCCTTCACCCTGTGGCCGGTCTGTTGCGCCTAGACCAGGTTAGGGTCCAGAGCAGGGGTAGGCCCTGTGCCTCACCAGTGACCACAAGACTACCACTCTGGATACACAAGCTTGTTTAATGCCATCTTCTTCACCAGCAGGTGTTAAACCAGGGACCTGTTCCTGGCTGCCCCAGATTGGAGACCTCCGGTTATGGGGAACAAGTCCTTTACAAGCCAGTTGTGGGTACTGGGGTCCCGGGACGATCCTTTCTTGGGCTTGGCATTCACTTTCCTTCCCCACCAAGAGGGTGCCTGTCAGAGGCTTGTGGCTGGGCAGCAGCCACCCGCTCAGAGTGGGGAGCCCACTTCTGCCTTCTGCACTCTCTCACTCCTGTGGGTGCCATCACAGTATGGAGGCTTCTGAGTGGCCTTGCAGGTACATAGGGCCACTGTTCGGGTCTCCTGGGCTTTGAACTTGAGTGGGGAGAGGCCAGTGTGTTGGAAGAAGTGGGAGCCATCACAGAAGGGCTGGTGAGGGAAAGAGAGAAGTTAGAGACCTGGCCTCACCTGATGGGGCTGAGCAGGTCTGAGAGGAGCAGGGCTTAGGCTCCCGAGTGACACTCTTTTACCTCTCATCTGTAATGTGAGGGTAATAACAGTCAACTCGTCCCAAGGAAATAATAACCATTTATTACGCACTTTGCATACAGTAAGTTTGAAGCATTATAGCATTAGTCTCCAGGGCACAAGGACGGAATTTTCAAGGTGAAATGAGGCCTTAGCTATCAGTACTATTTACACTGATAGTTTTTTTAGTGGTCAAATCTCCATTGGTTCATGAAATTCATTTCTTTCCACATATTCTTGGTTAAAACCTGAACTGGAAAGAGCCTGTGTACATCACAGGGCTTTAAGATTGGGGTACCAATTTTTTGGCTCCAGGAAATAACGGGGCATATTATAGGGAGTGGATGTTACAGGGAGGAAGGGGATGTTCTATAGTGAACTGGCTGCCTGGTGCCAGCACACACTCCCCGTCCATCCCAGGAAGTGCAGACAGACTGGATAATGGAAACCAAGACCCACAGAGGAGCTGTGACTTGCTATTAGTGGGTCTCTTGACCTTGGGGTCAGGGTGGGATAGGAGGAGAGCTGAGGGAAATATGCCAGTAAAAGTGAGCTAGTTTCCAGCTGGCATTCCCTTAGCACTGCTCCACCCTCTTGAGGGCCTGCTCCAAGTCAAATCAGTGCCAGAGCAGGGCAGCTGACACCACACCACACATCACACTGCGTGGAGGAAAACAGTTCACAGCTCAGCTCAGGAAGGAAAGGGGCCCTGGAGGCTAAGAATATGGAGCAGGCTCCTGCTGGATGAAAGGCTCCTGGGGCAGAAGAGAGCATGAGTTGGGAGCAGGCAGCCAGGCTGAGAAGACAGCTGGCTGTGGTGGGCAACCAGGAAAGTCAAACAATGGGGAGGATTTTCAGAAGACCCTGGGAAGGGATGCTGGGGACAGCAAAGCTGGGCAGAATCTTCCCAATGTTGGAGTCCCAGGGCTGGGAACCTTTGGCACAGATGCTTCTTAGGAGCAAGGAGAGAGGAAAAGAGAGACAGGCAAGCCTCTCTGCTCAGAGCGGAGCCTGGCATGAGCCTCTGAGAAGGAGGGAGCACCAGAAGCAAAGTCTAAAACCCTGGGCTCCACCCTCTTGGCTGTGTGACTATGTTTCTGTATCTCCGGGCTCAACTCAAAGGGTTGATGAACAGAGAACAGAGCTCAAGGCTACGGGTGAGCCAGCCTGAGAGTATCTTTTCTTGAGAGGGAGTTCCCAGGACACACCCTGCTTTCCCTAACAGGGGTATCATATATCAGTGGGAGGGGAGAGGGGGGGTCTCACCTGCTTTTTGCTGCGGCCACACACACACCACCTGTAGGTTTTCCCTGCCACCAGTTCCACTTTGATGGGTGTTTTTAGGGCCACCACAGACTTGGCTGGGGTTTTGGGGAACCATTTGGCCTGCCGGAGGGAAGATGAGGGGTTTGGGGTCAGCCCAGGTCCTGGAAGTTTCCCACTGGCCCTGGCTTGTGGCAGGCTTCCTTGGCAGGAGGCTGATCTGATGACACCCAGCAAAGACATTCGCCCAAAGATACCATAAGTACCCTGAGTTCCAGATAGGGAAGGATTTCAAGGCCATGCAGGCATTCAGGTTTGGAGGCCCAGCTGTTTTCTCTGAAAACCCTGGCTGCGCGCAGGTGCTAGGGAGGGGAGGGCGAGCCAACTGCACCTGGGGCTTGGTTTATCAGGCACCACTGTTTCCAGCCCAGAAGGCTGGCTCCCAGCCCTGGGTCCTCTGGTCCAGCTTACCACCCCTGAGCCATGGGGAGGTGGCTTCAAGCTAGGCGATCTTAGGCTGGAGCCCAGGAAACGGCTGATCCTTTCTGGTTCCCTTCCGTGCTCTCTACCTTTGGGATCTCTAGGCCTGGGGAACTTGGGCAGAGAGATGGGGACACTGGGGGCACTTACCAGCCAGGAGGAGATGTCACGCCTCTGGTTCAGCTTCTGCAAGGCAAGCAGTCATCATCAGACGGTGGTTTGGAAACAGAAAAATAAAGTCAATGGAAAGCGGAGAACTTTCGGAGGGAAGTCATCTGAAAAGGAAGAGACGACCGCTCATGGGTATAGGAGAGATTAGAGAGTAAGAAAATGGGATCACAGGACAGGAAGGAGAGTCGCAGGGAAGGTGCTGGCACGCAGCAGGCGCTCCGGAGGAGGGGGCTGCTCGGCCGAGGGGCTGCTCGGCGGCGGGGGCATGGATGAGGAGCGGAGGGCTGGGCGGCGCCGGGCAGGGGATACTCACCCAGGCCACTGGTCGCAGGAACGCGCCCACGACTCCCATGCTGGCCCCCGCCGCCCCGGCCCCGCCCCGCTCCGCTCCCGGGTCACCTTTCCGCTTATCCCCGCCTCCCGCCCCGCCCCGCCTCCCGCCCCGCCCCGCCCCCTCGGCCCGGAAGACGTCGCGGGGTTCTGCGTGGGTGGAGGCCGAGGCCTGCGCGGTCCGGTCCAGCCTCAACGGCGGGAAGCCGAGTGCCAGTCCAATGGCCTCCTCGGGTCCCCTGCCGGGGGGTGGGGGGAGGAGGGGGACTGGGCTCTCCCGGCTTCCCATTTGGTACCCACAAGTCTGCGGAATGGTCTGCAGAGCATCGCCTTTCGTTTCCTGGGAGCCAACGCTCCAGGCCACCCCCCCACCCCTTCCCGCGGTGTGTACTGGGACCCTTCTGGGAGCCGGTTCTCTTGAGAGTCTAAGACAGTGTTTGTAGAAGTGCGGGGCAGAGGCAGATACATATCACCTAGGGAACTGCTTTTTTTTTTTTTTTTTTTTTACCAGATTCCACCAGCCTGGCCTATGCATCATCACATCCTTGTGGGGGGGCACAGGTATCTCAGTGTTCAATATGCAGCCTGGATAGTTTGTGCCTTCTGGCGAACTACTATTCTGAGTGCTTTAAGAAATGTAATAGGCCATCCCCCCCCCCCCAAGCTCCCCACAGTTGGCAGGCCCCCTCCCTTTCCCTTCAATGAAGCCAGACAAAGCAGGTTCTCTTTGGATATTTTTTGTAAAACATTCTTTTATTAAAAGAACAAGTGCTGTTTACGAACTGCCCTTCGTACAAATAACATCCGTTATACAAAGATACAGGATCCGGGTTATGCACAATTCCAGGCTTGGAGGTGGCAAAGGGGGCATTGCCTTTTGGGCTGAGGATATAAAGGTTTTTAGAAAGAATGAAAAAGGAGCCCTGGGTTTGCAAACCATGGCTTCCCCTCCTTGCTCCCCTAGGAAGGGTCTGCTACATTGAGACAGGCAGGGATGGAATGGGGGTGGGGTGGGGTGGGTCAGGGTTTGGGTCTCCAGTCCTGCCACCGAAGTCACAAGACAGGTTGGAGGAAAGAAACAATGGGCAATGAAGGCACCCCTCAGTCCCCAACTTTTCAGTAGATCAAGTCAGAGTGGTCAAGAGCTAGATCCTTTTAATCTGATTGATGTGACTGGAGGGAGTCAGGGCACTGGTCCCCACCTTCCTCCAACTTCCAAATTGAAGTGACTTTAATCCCTCCAGACACCTCTCCCCAGGAAAATAAGTTGGGATCAAGGAGAACTGGGATAAGCTGCCCACACCTAACACTGGCCTACCACACACCAAGGAAGATGCTGGAAGCTGCAGGGAGAGCCTGTGCCTTTGAAAACTTGTCTGCATTCCTAGTTTGGGAAAGGGAAGTATGGAGAAGATGACCCTTTCTCAGAGCTGGCCTCTGGCTCTGGTCCCCCGCTCTTCTTAGGAGTATTTCCCTAGAACTCAGAACAGGAATGTCAGGGTGCTCTCATCAGCCTCAAAGTAAGGGCACCTGGAGGCAATAGTAGACCCATGAGCTTGAGGGAGAAAAACTCACACACAGGAAAATCTTTTAAAAAGCAACCTTTAAAGTGTCATTGTCCACGGAGAGGATCCATCAGCTCTGAACTAAGACAGTCAGTGCTACATAGATACCTTCCCACCCTGGGCACAGCCCTGCACTCACACCATATGTCACACACACAAGGACAGCCTGACAGCCACCTGGAGGTGGTGCAGTGGAGGGGGAGAGCGGAGGACCAGGTGGCCAGTGTCCTGAGGGCTGGTTCTGGCTCTGCCGGAGCCCTTGCCCCTCCTAGGCTTGGAGGTATTACCTTTCAAGTGAGGAGCTGGCTCAAATGACCCCTAAAGACAGGTCCCTTCCAGCTCTGACACTCATGCACCAGTTGCGACCTCAAGGCCAGACAGTGGTTCTGCATGCATACCCCACTCACATCTCCAAGCTGAGGGTGATGACACGGAGCTCCACTCATGCATTCTCAAACTTCACTTCCGCCCTGCAAACCACATCCTCTCCCTCCCCTAGACAGAGTGATCTACAGATTGGCCTCCCTTCTCACTCCCCATCCAAACTCCCTGGAAAAAGGGACTGAGTCTGGGAGGAGGGTTAGGTCAGTATAACCATCCCCCCACATTGGGACCCGGCTCCTTCCTGAAGATCTCTAGACATTTCTTATTATAAAGCTCCCTAAAAGATAAAATGTACTACCTCTCTCCTGCCCCTCCCCACCCCAGATTGTGGGACAGCACCAATCCTTCCCCAATCTCATCTTCAAATCTAATGACTACCTGCTGCTGCACCCAGCCTGGGGAAAGCTGGAAAACAGAGACTCTTGGAGATGAAAACCCCAGACTCTTGGGTGCTGAGAGAGAGGAGGAGGTCTGTTCCAGTGCACTAAATCATTTGGACCCCTCACTCTCTGCCACAGCAGCCTTGGGCAGATTTACTTCCCTCACCATCCAGAACAGAAGTTGACTTCAGCTCTAAGTGGGTTGGCCTTGGGCAAGGGTGTGGTATGAATGAACAACTCTAAAAATCTCTGAAGGTTATTTTTCTTTTCAGTGATTTGGGGGCAGGGAGTTAGATAGCTTAATAGATGAAGATTAATAAAATGCTGAATTCTGTAATTTCTTTCTAACTGATATTTAGCATCAATAAAAAGTGAGTATTTCTGAGGTCATCACAACTGCCACCCCCCTCCCCCAAGCCCTTGCAAGTGCCTAAGAAATAGCCTCTGAAGGATTCCCACCCACCCCCCTCCATTATCTGCTCCCTAACATATTACAAAGTCTTATCAACAGTAATATTAATATTATTTTCAGTATCAGAAAAAAACCAGTTGAGCAGCACAGGCAAAAATATATCTGCACTACGTTTCTGTCATTGCCAAAAATATACACATCTTTTCTTTATTAAAAAAAAAAAAAAAAAAAAAAACCACCAACAACAAAAACCCAAACAGAAACACACACACACACACACACAAAAATCCACACATGCAAAGAGACGGACAAGACATGAGCGTCAGGGAAAGCTGGAAGTGCCTTCTCCTGGCTCCAACCCCAGTGCAACTGAAACAGACACAGGCTTCATCTCTGCCCCTCTCCTGGCTGTCCCACTGGCCCCTAGGCCTTTGCCACCAAAGGCTCTGGGCAGGTGGGGACTCTTCAAGGTGAGAATCTAAGCATTGCCCACTGTACCCCGGTGGAAATAGCTGGTGGGTGAAGGGACAGTTGTTAAGTCAGTTTAAGCTTAAGTCTCCCCTGGTTGATGGGGTGGGGGTAGGGTGCAGGAAGTGGGCTGGCTAACTCTGGGAGGGAGATCTTCACTAAAGGAAGTGGCACTTTACCCTCCCTTGCCCTGTCCCCCAATCCCTGGGGCTCCCCTTGTGCCTGGGAAGCAGGACCAACTATAGGGTGAGGGAAGGGGAGCTCTGAGGAGCACACCATATGGGGTCTGGGGAAGGGAAGGCAGGATATTACCCTGATTCAAAGCCCTCAGCCCCCAGTTACTCTCCAATATTGGAGTACTGTTCTGGTTTTTGTTAACCATTCATGCCCCAGAAAGGGACCAAAGTTGGTGATGGGAGGGTGCAAATAAGAGCTGGGAGCTCCCCTTCTGAGCACTGCTCCTATCCCTGCCCTCGGCTGCCCCGTCGAGGGGGAGACAGACATACACACATGTACACGCACACACGCTCTCTGAGTCAGGCAGCTAGCTCCATCTCCCCACCCTCGGCACTCCTAAATCCAATAGTGCAAAAAGGGGCAGGGCTCCCAGGGGGCTGGGCCTCCCCCCTACCCAACCCCAACCCATCTCTGGGTTCCCCACAGAGGTGGAGAAGCCTGGGCTGAGTTTTAGGCCATCCTGACCCTTCCTCAGCCTCCTAGTTTGTGGGTTTTTACAAGCTCAGCTTGTGATCCTTGTTGAGGGGCAGGGGAAGGGGACTGGTGAGAAACAACAGTCCAAGGGATCCCTCCTGCCATCTGCCCAAGTTGGGAAGAAACTGCAGGTACAGTAGGACCACCCCTTCCTCCCTAATAGATTTCTACTCAAGAGCAGGCCCAGGGCCTGTCCCCCACTTCTCCCCACTCAAGTGCTGATCCATTTTATGTGGCGGGTCCAACCAACCCCCACTTATGCCATAGCCCACTTTGCTCTCTGGAGGACCTCAAATCATTAGCTGAGAGTAGGGGCTCCCAGGTCGGCTTGGAGCCTGTCCTCCCTCTGAGCCCCTCACAAAGGGTCTGTGCAGGAGGGAAAGGGGCAGACAGAAGGAGCTCCCCTCTCAGTCCCAGTCCTCCGCAGCAGGTGCGCCCCACACTCCCCAGGTCTCAGCACGCGCTCTGGGATGGGATTCTCCAGGGTCTGGGCACGAGTGCCTGCTCCAGGCTGGAACCCCCTCAAGCCAGGATTGCCCCTTCACTGAGGATCAGGAGGGGTATGGGTGGATTTAGCCTTTTTCCTGGTTGGCTGAGGCTCCTTTGTCAGCGGTCTAGAAAGAGAAGAAGGGAGTCTGGGGGTTGGGAGGTGTCTGGTCCTGATACCCATGTGAGAACAGCTTCTTGGGTCAAGAAAGCTTTTGTAGGGTGCAGTGAAGGAGCCCAGCTGAAGCTCCTGACGTGGGCTCTGGTGGGTGTACACTTAAGTCAACAATGTGTGTGTGGCTGGGGGTGAGGAGTGTTGCTCTGCACAAGGGTGCCTGGCTAAGCAGGCATGCCAGCCAAAGCCAGCACCCTGTCCTCTGCCTGCCCTCAGAGGAAGGAGGGAGGGCCTTTCTGGAAATGGCTCACCCAGAACATCATCTCGTTCTAGTCTGAGAGGAAATGGCCTTTTTTAATTGGTCTTCCCAGAGGAATGCTGTGTTCTAATTGGCCCTTTGACCATTAGTTCATGCTCAGAGTGCTTCTTTCTTGGATCTGTAGGGTACCTATGTGCTAGCAAAGGCCCTGGGGTCTGGAGCAGGGTGCTTTGCTGACCTAGGGGTCATTTCCTTTCTCCTTCTGATGATGTATCTGATGATGTACCTTCTGATGTGCCACCTCTGCCCACCCCGGAGTAGGAAGACAGGCCAGCCCCCAGACCCTTTACTCACCCCTCCTTTGGGGCCACTGCCACTGCTGTCTGCCCCGGACAGGCTGAGGAAGGGGTTGGTCTGAGCAGTCAGGACTGGAGGGCCGCCTGCTGCTGCTACTGCTGCGGCCGCAGCTGCTGCAGCCATGAGACTTGTGTTGTTGCTGAGGGCGGGAGCCACCAGGGCTCCAGCAGGCAGCAGGGGTGGGGCAGATGCTGTGGGCAGCAGGCCAGGAGTGCCTGTGGACAGCAGCGGGGTGGAGCTTCCTGCCAGCAGGCTGGCCATGGGCAGCTGGGAGCCCCCAGCCATCTGTAGCCGCTGCAGCTCCCGCTTCTGTTGGATCTGCTGGATCATCTGGTAGACAACAGTCTGGTGTTCCTGCAAGTAGGCCAGACTGCTCATTGGCCAGTGGTTCCCAAGGCCAGCTTGCCCTGCTTGGCCCAGGCCCCATCCCATCACAGTGGAGGCAGGAGATGGTCAAGGTTCTCTTGTCTCTAACTCCTCACTCTGGGCCTCAGTCTCCCCATCTGGACATGAAAGTGGTTGCACACCATCAGTGTTTGTCAAGTGGGGCAATACTGGCTAACCACAGGGCATTTAACATCCCTGGCCCCACCCTGCTGAGTAAGTCAGTTCTTCAGTCACTATGACAACGACAAATGCTCCCAGTGGCGGTAGGACTCCAAGTTGAGAAACATTAAACTAGGTCAATAGTTTTCAACTGCCCCTCTTTTTTGTTGTTGTCCCCCCCCCCCTCATTTAAGATTAATTTATTTTTGCTTTGAGTAGGCAAAGCCATTTTCAAGTATTTTGAAAACCAAAAAAACAATGTATCATGGTTCACTTTAGGAAATCTTGCTCCTACCCCTGTTCCCATCTGGCCCCAGTAGATAACCAGTTGAACTGGTTTCTTATGTCTTTTTCTAATGTTCCTTTACATGAAAATGATGATTATTGTTTATATATTTTCAACTCCCTCATTTTTGAAAGGCACAACTCATTTTCTCCAAAGGAAATCTTAGCAGAGCCCAACATACAAGACAGACCCCAAAGGAGCTGTTCTGGTTGAGGGGGTATCACCTGCTCGGCCACCGCTCCACACAGATGCTGAAGTTTCCCCCTGAAGATACTTGGGGCTGGACTTGGAAATGCTCAATAACTGAGGACTTGCCACCCCTTAGACCCGCTCTCACTAGGATGCGATCAGGGCCACTACGGCATACCTTCCCCAGTGTCTAGGGGGCCTGAGAGCAATCCCTATCCCCCCTGTCCCATGGGGGATGCTCCAGCCCTGGGTGCAATCTCAGCCCAGCCTGGGGCTGCCGTCCCTCCCCAGCCTGGCCTGAGGTGGGCCCTTCCAGCGAGCTGGGGGGGAGGTGGCCTGGGAAGGGAGGGCATTACCGGGGTCAGCTGTGGGGAGGCGAGGAGCTGCTGGAGCTGTTGGAGCTGCTGCTCTTGTTGCTGCAGGAGGTGTCTCTGCTGCTCGGTTAGGCTGAGGCAGGGGACAAAACACAGACCATGGGAAGGGACAGGGAAACACTCCTCCACCCCACACAAGTTCCCAGACTCCCTCAGACCTAAGTGAAGAGAGGCAGGGATGTGCAATTTTAGATTAAAGAGAAACAGGCTGAGCTCAGAGAGTACAGTGGGAGATAAGTGAGATGGAAGAACTTTTCCAGAAGGAAAACCTAGTGGGGTACAAGAAACAGACAGTTTTGTCCTAGAGAGTTGCCATCCAGAGGACACTCACATCTAATATCTAGGGAGTACCTGGGGCCAGGAGGTGACTAGATTCTATACCCTATAAGATCAGAGGACATTTTTCCTTTCGAGGGACTATGGGTGTTTGGGGGAGCCCCTCCCACAGCCAGCCTCCCCAGTCCCTTCCCCAGGCTGAGCTCTCCCTCACCTGTTGAGACAACCTGGCAGCTGCAGCGTGGGGGCCCCACCAGCCTGGCTCAAGCCTGCAGGGTTGGGGGCAGCAGCCCCATTCAACCCCCCCAGGAGGCCATTGAGAGGCAGAGCCCCACTTCCCGCCAGCCCCCCCAACAGCCCCTCAGCCATGGGCATAGCCCCCAGCCCCGCTGTCCCAGATGCCCGGCCCAGCCCATTCTGTGGCTGGGGCGGGAGTGAGGCAGGGGCCCCAGGCAGGGCCAGGGGCAGGGTAGCAGGGCTCTGCTGGAGCAAGGGCAGCGGTGGGGGCGTGCTGTGGAAGGACAGCGACGAGCTGCTGCGGCTGGGGCAGCCTGAGTGTGGGTCCTGGGGAGGGAGGGGGAAGGGAGGGGTCAGAGGGGCAGGGGGCCAGCATGACATTTCTGGCCCCCAACCCAGCACCCATCAACATTCTCATAGAGCACAGCCACCCCCACCTCAGCCCCAGGCAGAACAACCCAGGAGGAGGAAGCAAGGCCCATGGAATTAAGGCTAAGAATCCTAAATATCTTCACAAATCTTGTTTACAGACCACTTCCTGGGCGCCCAGCACCCATCACCACCCTTAATACTAAACATCAATGAGAGTAGTGAGCATCTCGTAAACCAGACCCAGGGTTCAATGCTTGACCTGTACTATCTCCTTCTTCCCATTTTATAGATGAACCACTGAGTCTTAGATAGGCTAAGTAATTCCACAGACAGCTAGGATGAAAGGCTCAGGTTCAAATCCTATGTCCACAATTCAATGGCTTGGGTGGCTCCTCTGCCTCAGTTATTCACTCATAACATGGGGTAACAGAAGTACCTATTCCGTAAATACTCTTCCACAGTGAAGACTAAACAAACCAATGCTTTAAAAGTCTCAGCACAGGACATGGCAAAGGGCAAATGTGCAATTAATTATTAGTTATTATGGTGATTATTACTGCCCAGGTCACACAGTAAGTGGCAGAGAGAACAAGAAAGTAGTTTGCTTGATTTCAATAATAACCACAACATAACAAAAGTAACTGCTACCCCAACCACCACCAATTACACAGGAATTCTTTTGTGTAAGGCACTGTAATAAACACTTCACAAATACTTCTCACAGAGACCTTCCCTAACCACCTTATGTCCACAGAAGAATCCCCCTCCTCCCATTCTTCCTCACAGCCCTCAAATTATTTCCGCTTTAGCACTTTTCCAGGTTTGTAATTATTGACTGTTTTCTTGGATTTCACCTATCTTAAGGAGCAAGACTGCATCCCTTTTGCTCACTGATTGCTTTGCCAGTACCTGGCAGTAAGTAGAGACCTCATAATTATTACTTATCTAATGAAGGAATGGAAGGATCAGTCAATTCATTGTCCAGCCAATCACTTCATTGTCCAGCCTCCAATAGCTCAGGGTGGACGCGGGACCAAGAAGCCATTGCACCTCCCCTCTCCTGCCCTTCCCCAGTTCTCCCGGTGGTGCCCACCTCTGAGGACGTGGACAGAGAGTTGTCCAGGCCGAGGCTGTTCTTCCCGGGAGGGCTCTTGCTGGTGCTCAAGGAATCACTGCTGCCGGCTGAGGGAGGGGGATCAGGGAAGGAGGTTGGGGCTGAAATCAGAGTGAGTTCCTACCACGGGCAGAGGGCCCCACTCCCGGGCTAGGTAGGCATGTTCCCCTTACCTTGGGGAGGCAGGCCGTAGGGCCCAGGGACAGGGCCATTGGCGGCAGGCAGGACGGCAGGCAGCGCAGGGAAGGGCACAGAGAGCTGCACATTGAGAATCTGCAGCCGCTCCTTCTTGGCTGTCAGGCTCAGGATCTGCTCCTGAAGCCGCTGGTTTTCCTTTTGCAGCGCGTGCAGCGCCTTCAGCATCTCCACGACTGCAGAAAGGGGGAGAGTACCTGAGCCCCACAGGCCTGGAGAGGTGGGGCGAGCGCTGGGGGTGGGGTCAGAGGGGCGAGGGCGGGGCCTGGCGGAGGAAATTCGAAGGAGACTAGAAGCGCAGGCTAGCCAGGCCTTGGACCCAGGAGCCGGAGGTGTGAGGCCCAGAGGCGGGGCCTGAGGCTCGGCTTGAGGTCTTGTGATTGGGCGGGAAGGGGCTGGCGGAAGTAAGGGCCCAATAGGGGCATGGGCCAGGAGTCCGGGAGGGCCAATGGCAGGGTGCAGAGGGTGTGGAGACTGGAAGAGGGCCTTGAAAGGGCTACAGGTAAGGCTGAGGTTGGCAAGAGTTAGGGCTGGGATGGGGCCGGGGGCCGGAACCTTAAATACGTTTGGGGACTTCAGGGAGAAGGGTGACAGAATCTGAGGGTTCTAGGACAGGTCTCCCAGCCCTGCTTCCCCTCTCCTCACTGTTGACGCCCGCCTCGCCATCGCCCTGCTTTTCCAGCAGCTGCTCCATGTTAGTCGTTCCGGGGGCCGCTGGGTCTAACTGGCCTCCCCCACAGGGTGCGGACGCTGTCTGGTCGAAAAGGGCAGGGAGGCTGCTGATGGGGGACCTAGGGTCATAAGGAAACACTGGGCTCAGGCTTACCTCCCACTCCAGTCCCCCTTCCCTCCCCACCTCAGGGGTTCCAGTCATCCCCTTCTGGACCCCACCCTCTTCGGGTACCCACTTCTCCGCCCCCTCCTCCGGGAGTGTCCCTCCTGCCCCGCTCCCAGCCCCTCCCCCAAGCCGCCGCCCCCTCCCTCACATGGAAGACAGACTCTCCTGGGGGGAGGTCCCCCGACACCGGAAGCTGCAGTCCTCCAGATCTGGCTCTTGGAAGGAGAAGGGGGGCAGGGATCAGCGGGGAAACAGTGCCAGTCGGCCTCACGGTCCCCATCTGGGAAGTGGGTGTGGGGTCTGGAACCTTACAGCAGACCCCTTTCCCCAGGATCTCCCAACCTCAGACTAGCTCATAAGGCGTTGAGAGCCCTGGCATGGAAACAGGCCCCTTGGGAGGTAAAGCCATGGATCTGGGCTCTTCCCTTCTCAAAGCAGAAAGACTCCTGCTGCCTGGCTACTTTCAGATCCACCTCCCAATTTCCTGGAAGCTTTAATGCTATAGAAATTTTGGGTCTAGACAGTCCTGGGTTGAATTTGGACCTGATACTTGCTCTGTGAATTTGGGCTTGAAACTAACCTCTAACTTAAGTGATTGTTATAAGGTAATAAATGTTAAGTGTTAAGCTGCATGCAGGAAGCCCTTAATAATTGTAGCTATTATGTTCTGTATGACTTTTTATATTCATGAACTCACAAATTAGATGGCAAAACCCTTGGTTGGGTCCTAGAATTCCGATTTGGGTTGGGAGAGGGCAAGTTACCCTACTGTGTCCTGTCTTGAATTCTGGATTCGGTTTCTTTAAGAAGGCCTACCTGAACTGGCAGCAGGGCGTTAGGACCCGCCCCCTAGCTGGCCAGGTGGTGTATCTGCACCAATCAGTTCTCTGGGGCTAGGTTGACTCTCCAGGGAGAGGGTGGGGCGCTTGAGACCTGCCTCTTTAACTCCTAGATACCCTGAGAGCAGGTTGCCCAGCGGGCGGGATCTCTGTAACCTCGGATCCCAAGGACTCACTAAGAGGCCAGCTGGGAGCTATACTTCGGCAGCAAAAGAACTGGGGTTAGAGTCAGGGGGCCAGATTTTGAGTTCTATTTGTGCCTTTCCCTGCTTCAACTGCCTTGAGTATTAATCTCACTTTCTCCTTCTGTGAGATGGAGCAGCCGTAATTCTTCCCTGACCTGCCCCAACCCCGCACCAGATTTTAAAGTGAAAGTGTACCCTGGGTTGTTGTGTAAAAACAGGTTTTTTTGCAGGGTGGGCAATGGCCAGAGGGAGGGGGCGGCCAGAAAGCCCTCCCATTCCTTTTCGGGGGTGACATGCAGGTGATGGGTGCCCCTCAGGCCTTTGGAAAGAAAAGAATGAGACTCACATACCTGTGTGGCTGCTCTCAGCTTGGGTAAGGAGGGGGTTAACAACACCCATGGGGGTTCCAAAGATGTGAGTAGAAGGGAGGCTAAATGTAGAGCCAGCCAGAGAAAACACCTGAGGGAAAGGAGGTAGAGTCCAGTCTGGAGATTATTCTTGGATCTAGGGCACAACTGTGCTTACTGGGTGGAGGGGACCAGGTGTGCTGGGGGAGAGAGGACCAGAGAGAGGGAGAAGTTCTGGTGATCAAGCCCAGTATCTTAAGTTCCCATGGAGGTCTGGGGTCTTTGGCAACCTAACCCCCACCTGCCCAGGGATGGAGGAGCCCAGGAGTAAGTCCTCACCTGAGTGGTGGAGATAGAAGCAGAAGAGGAGGGGAGGGTGCTGGTGAATGGGGAGCGGCTGAGACGGGGCAAGGCAGAGGTCCCAGGGGGCCCCAGCAGGCTGGAAGAAAGGGGGGTGCTGCAGACAGCCCTCAACATTCCACCACCATGGGAGATGGGGTCCTTATTACTGGTGTAGATGCCTACAGGCACAAGGACACAGAGGGAAGCATATAGTCACCACTCCCCCAAGCCCCTCCCCAAGGAGAACACTCCCTGGATCTGGCCACACACACCAGTCTAACCTCCTTGCTGCAAAGATGTCACTTCTTGCCTGGATATCTGCTTGACATGACTACTTATTAGACTGCCCTGGCCAGACCTGGGGAATTCCCAGCTTTTCTAATACCCCAACCAAATAGTTTTATGTCCTACTGACAATCTAACCCAATCTCTCCTTCTACAACCATGTGGAGGATGGGTATGGGGGAGTGTCTTAGAGGTGACTGTCACTTCTGTCCTTTATCTCTGTCCTTTGGAGTAGTTTCTATCACATTTCCTTCTAACTGCATGCTTATGCCTCTGTCCCATCACTAGCCTGGTTGGGCCTTCAGATACGAGGGTCACTAACCTGCCCCTAGCAGGGGGGACTCCAGGCTCAGGCTGGGCAGGCTCCCTGAAGGCCCAAAGGTGCGGGAGGCCAGACCACCCAGGCCGGAGCTGACCAGGGAACCTCCTGAGAAGGGTGAGGCAGCAGTGGCAGTAAAGCCAGCCAGCTGGGCACCAGGCAAGGAGGGAGCAGCTGGAGCCCCAGCACCCTCCTCATTCCGGCTGCCCTTGGGACGGCCTGGCCCATGTCGGCTCCTCTTGCTGGCTTTGTGCTTCTTCTCCTTCAGGCCTGTCTCAGGGGTCTCTTCAGCAGGTGCAGGGGCAGCACTCAGTGTGGGCATCCGCTTGTGGGTGCCTGCTGAGGTCCCGGACCCCGAGAGGTGGGGAGATTTATAGTCCCCAGGGGATGGGGCCCGGGCCCGGCCTGAGCTGGAGGTGGTGGTAGAGAAGCGCATGATGGGCCCAAAGCCAGAGAAGACCACCTTCTGCTCAAAGAGGTCAGCCTTGGGGGGCTCAGGGACTGAGGGAGACGGGGGAGCTGAAGGGGTGGGGGCTGTGGGCTTGGAGTACTTGTCCTCCTCTGGCTGTTCCAGCTTGGGGAAGGCAGAGAAGTCAGGGGAGCTCTGCAGGGACGAAACTGCACAGAAGGAAAACAGAGTTACAGCTGGATCCCAGACCCCTCACTCCCTCCCACTCCCAAAGTGCACTGGTGGGAGAGAGCTCTGGTCAGGGGCTGGGGAAGCCTGGCTTCCTGCCCCAGCTCTGCCACTGTCTCCATGTCCTGGGATGAGTGGCCCACCCCCACCAGCTTCCCCACTTATGATAAAGTAGGAGGGGAGGAGAGTTCCAGCTCAAAAGGAAAGGGTTGAGGGGAGGGTCTGGAGAAATATAACTTGTGGGGACCCCTTTTCTTTAATCTGAACCAATTTAAGAAGCAAATGAGATGCAAACCAATATGCAAAGGCCCTTGCTAGAAAAGCTCAGGGTCAAAGGCTGTCCCATTCCCAGCCTCCTTCAGGAGGCTCACCTGCCCTCACTCACCTGCAGGCTGGAAGGGCCCCCCAGAGGAGGAAGAAGAAGAGGAGGAAGAGGAGGAAGAGGCGGAGGTGAAACTGCTCACACCTTTCCCACTGCTCAGCTTCTTTCCCTTGTGACTCAGGCTATGGCTGGAAGACTTTTTCCCCTTTGAGTCCCTGCTGCTCTCAGAGGTCTCCTGAGTGCTGGCCTCATGGTGGGAGGAGGAGGAAGCTGAGGAGGAGACCTGAAGGAGGGAAGAGAGAGAAAGGCTTGAGACCAGCTACCAGGGCCTCGGTTCACCCTGACTTGGGAGTGGAGCAGGAGCACACCAGACCTGGGCTCTACTGGGAGGGAGAGGGCGGTGGGAGTCCCTAGACCAGGAAGATGGGGAGCAGCTGTGGAACTTCTGGGTGTGAGGAGGGGTGAGCACTCAGAACCCAAGAAGTTGTCTATCCTTCACCTCAGGTAGGAGAGAGATGAAAGCAGTCCCAGAGTCTGTACTGATATGCTCATTTGTTCATTCATTCATTTAAGAAATACTGGTTGAGCAATGGCCCACATACCAAGATGTCACAGGTTCGATTCCCAGTCAGAGCACATGACCAGGTTGTGGGCCCGATCCCCAGTGGGGGACGTGCAGGAGGCGGCCAATCAGTGTTCTCTCTCATCGATGTTTCTCTCTCTCCCTCTCTCTCTAAAATCAATAAAAAAAAAATTTTTTTTATCCTCACCCGAGGACACTTTAGAGTACACTTTTGCATTCATCTTCAGGGAGAGTGAGAGGGAGAGAGGGAGGAAGAGAGAGAAACATCGATGTGAGACACATCGACTGGCCACCACCCACAGGACCCCAACCAGGGCTGGGGACAAACTGCAACCAAGGTACATGCCCTTAGCAGGAACCAAACCCAGGTCTCCCTGGACCAACACTCTAACCGCTGAGCCAAACTGGCCAGGGGGAAAAAAAAATTTTTTTTTAAAGAAAGAAATACTTGCTAGACTTGTGCTGGGAAGTGGTATGGGCAGCAAGAGGGCTGCCCTGGCCGCATCCTTGGGCCCTCCAGTCACGACCATTCCTTCCCTGCTCACCTCAAGCTGCAGCCACCTGACCGACACCCTATTCCCTGGCCACTCCATGCCTTTCCTAGACAACCTGAGCTTACAGTGCCAAAACCTCTGCCAGAGAGCCTATTCTTACTCTTCTGGGAAAACTTCTCATCCTTAAAAATCCAGCTCAGAAGTTCCCTCTTTCATGAGGCCACCCTGGACACCTGGGGTGGAATAAGTCACTCTTTATTCTTATTTCCAGGGCACTGTGTAACCCCGTCAGCCATGTCAACAGTTGCCATACTATACTGAAATATACTGTCTCCATATCTGCGGCCCCTAGTAACCTCTCTGAGGGTGGCAGGGCAGGGTTGGAGGAGGATGGGCTCTGCCATTTACTGCCATGTTCACGTTGCATGATCTCTCAACCTCGCTGAGCTTTGGTGTCCTTGTGGGGCTAATTATGCCTATTTGGAGAGTTACGAGGAGCATAATGCCAGAAACATAGTGTGAGGTCAATAATGATGATTCTAATGGCTTTGGCTGCTATTAACATACTGCAGAGACAGTGTCTGCAGTGGTTAAGAGTCCAGGCCTTCAAATCAGACTGCATGGGTTCAAATCTTGACTCTGCAACTATCTAGCTGTTACTTCAAGGTAAATTACTTAACTTCTCTGTTTCTCCGTTTCTTCATTTATTAAATGGGGTTAATAAAATACCTTCTTCATTGGACTATTTTGAGAATTAAAGGAGGGAATCCCTACACACCCCATAGACTCCCCTGTTCCAGAAGAGAGGCTGGCATATGGTGACTGAGTTAGAGCTTTGCTACTGCCAGGGATGGCGCCGTTCCTCCTGGTGGACACCCTGCATTCAGTAACCGGCTGCTAAACCAACAAATGCGAGAGGATGGATGGGGGACTGAGAGCCACCCTGCACTGCCCTCCCTGGGGGGAGCCCTTGTCTCCTCTTCCTCTTTGTTCTTTTCAACAGCTGGAGTTCTGAAGGGAGCCAGATGTGGTTCTCAGAGCAAGGAAGAGGGGATAGGGGGAGGGGTAGCTAAAATGCTTGGGGGGGGGATGGGCAGAATGCTCCAACATGTCCAGGGAATACCCAGCCACTGGGGGAACTCCCAGAACTCTGGCCCTCTCTTTCCACCTGTCCGCAGGCCCCAGGGAAAGGTCAGAGGGCAGAGATGCCAAGCTTTTCCAGGTGAGTCCTAGAAAGCAGGGCAGGGAGAGGGTTACTGGGGCAGTTGCCACAGCAACATCCCCCTAGAAACCTGATATCTGAGCCTCCCGCTAGGATGCCCAGAGCTCTGCCAACCTCCTTAGGCAGTGCAAGTGAATGAAGCAATAATGGCAACAAGAGGAAGCAGTTTCTCCAGGCCCCTGTTCACCTTCCCTGGGGAGGGCAGGCAGGAGGGGCAGACAGGGCTGCTCTCTGGCTTGGATTAGAAACTCCCTAACCTCCAGTAGGGCCTGCCATTTGCTTATCCTGATGTTGCCTTCTGGAGACAGGCCTGACATACTATGCCTCTCCTGGGAAGGTGGGATGAGTGGGGGTTCAGGGTTTTGTCAGGGGGCCCGCTATGGGCTACACTTTCAGCCTCTCCAACATTCATAGAGTAGGATTTTGGTCAGGTCACAAGCTGTGGCGTCTTCTGACACGGGGAGAGGTGAAAGGGGAGGGATGAGAGAGAAGGGTCTTCTCTATCTCTGGGGAAGGGGCCCCATAGCTTGGAGAACTGACCTGAACACTGTATCTACAGACAAGAGCCCAGTGCTACGGCTCTGTGTCTGGACAGAGGCAGATGTGAACATCTGGCAGCCAGCAGGCAGGGTGGTACCCCTCATCCTACCCTGCTCTCCTGGTTGGTAAGTGATTGGTGGGGCTGAGGAGTAGAGGGGGTTGAGGTGGGCAGCAGAAGCACATTAACCTGAAACTGGGAGGTGCCCAGGTCTCTGGCTTACCCTGGCCCCTCAGACCTTGCCCTCCCACCGCCGTGGCCATCCCTCCCAGGTGTGGGCAGCAGTACCTTGTCAGCAGTGGGGACCACGGGTGGGGTGAGGATGCTGGGGGGTGACTCAGGCCGCTTCTTGTGCTTCTGTTTAAGGCGTTCCTTGTCTTTTCGACTCTGGGGAAGGACATGTGACCAGGTATTGGTGTTGGGGGATATTTGGGGTGAAGATGACATGTGCATGTGGGCAGTGGACCCTTCTCAGAGATGGACTTTGTGGATGTCATCTTCCCCATGGAGGGACGGGGGCACTCTGGCTGGACAGGACTGGTTCAAGCAGGTTCCTCTAAGAGCCAACAGCCCCTCATCCTTTCTGTCTGCTAAAAATAGCCTATCCCATTATCACACCAGTGACACAGAGCACCACACACATGAGCATGCACCTCAAGGGTGTCCACCAGGGATGTGGAGCTGTGCAGAGGGATGGGAGCCAGGCACACTTAGACACGAGGCACAAGAAGACGCAGGCATGTACACTTACAAACTGGGTTGATGTATGCTAACGTGCAGGGCCATGTGTTGGGGCTACAGGAACACTGTCATGTCATGGGAGGACACTGGAGGCACCACACAAACACAAAGAGCCCCAGAGAAGCCAGGCCTTCACCTCACCCTCTGTGACCCTCACATATCACTTCCTCAGCCCTTCCCTGCCCTCAGTAGCCTCATGGGAAGGAAGGGGGCTGGCCCCAAAGCCTTGGGGGCACCTTGTGGTGGCTTCTTGAAAGAGGTGTGAGTTTGTGAGTGTCGCAGGATAGGTAGAGGGAGAAGACTTTTACCTTCTTCTGTCCCCTCTCATGGTGGGAAGGGTGCTTCTCCTGCTGGGTGGATGGTGAGGCTGACCGGCTTCTCCGGCCAGTGATGAAGCCACTGCCACCTCCCCCTGTGCTGCTGCCTCCTCCTCCTGCTCCTCCACCTCCCCCACTGGTGTGCCGGGAAGTCTTCTGGGGAGAGAATCAAGAGGAGTGGCCAAACTCTCCTCTCATTAGCTTAGAAAAGGTTCCTGAAGGTCAAGTAATCCTGGGGGCCAGTCCCCCTGTCCTGCCCATCACTAAGAGGACCTTGTGTTCTTAATGATGCTCGGCTTAACAGAAGGGCATTCCTTCCAGCTTCCCCAGCTTGTCCAGTGCACAGATTTGGGGCAACTGAGGCCCAGAAGAGACAGCTGTTCTAGCTGCAGCAAGGCATGCCCAGGTCCTTGCTCTCTACCCACCTCTTTCCCCAGTGCCCTCTTAGCCCATGGCAGGAAGCCTGAGCCAAGGCCCATCTCTGCCTCGTCTCCAGGGGTAGAGGACCCTTGTGGGAGCCCCTGTTCCTCTGCACTCCACAGCCCATCCTCCCCTCCAGACACTTCCCCCCAGCCCTCAGCACTTCTCCCTTGTTCCAAGCCCTCCCCCTCCACCAAACAGTGGTTCCTTCTGTCCCAAAGGACTGCTGCCCTTAAGGGGAGGAGTAAACATCCACAGCAAGAACCCAATGACCCTTATGCCACCTCTCCTCCCAGCCAGGGCCTGCCCCTTCCTTCCTTCACTGCTAATAGACTCCCTACCATCCAGTGTGAAGGTTTCACTTGTCCCAGACTTGCAGCTGCTCCCTCTAAGGTCACCCACCACCTCCCAATTGCCTAATCCAAGGACTAATTTCAGACCTCATCTGACCCAATCACTCCCCGGGGCACTGTTCTTATCATGCTAAGCTCTTAAGACTCTTCCATTCATGGTTCCCTTCACACCTTGACCAATCCTACCCTGATGGGCACCTATGGATTCCAGCCCCAGCCTTGTGCACCTGGGACTGGCACTATCACCCTGCCTGGGGGGTCTGACAGCCACCAAACCTAAACATTCCCACTTGGCACCTCCTAGAAACCAAACCGACCTCCCTACCTTGTCCTAAGTCATTATCAAACCCTGAAACCACGGTGACCAGATAACTTATGATCCAAATCAGGACACAGTTGAAAATGAAAGAGGGACTATTAGTAATTACACCAGGGCAATAGGCACAAACTGGGACTGTCTGGGGTAGACCAGGACAGATGTTAACCCTACACAAGCCTTCTGCACCCCGTTCACAGCACCGGCAGGTGTTCAAGCCCCACCCACCCAGCACTGAGAGCCTGGGTCCTACCTGCCACCCTTAACTCCTTTCTCAGCTACCCCTACACATAGGCAAGTCTACCTAGAAATGTTCTAGAGTCCAGCCTCATCCCTCCATTCCCTCCTTCTGCATCTGTCTCCTAGCCACCAGCCTAGGATTCAGCTTCTGGGTGCCTGCCAGGGTAATCTTACCTAAAAAAACAAATCTGATCATGTTACCCTCCTGCTTACAAGTAGCCTTATAAGCCTGTGGCCTGGGAGTGAGGTCCAAGCTGCAATCCTAGTCGGGCCACAGCCTACCTCTCCAGGACACCCCACATCTTCTGGAATATGCAGGTCTTCCCACAGACATGACATAGTACCCCTCCTTCAACCTCTCCTTGTCTCCCTGAAGCCTGGAGTAGGATACCCAGCTCTAGCCCTGCATGAGCTTTCTTTGCCTCATCTTCTGCTTCATCCCCACCAAACACCCAGTTCTGCTGCTCACAAAATTCTTTCTTCTCTCAGGATTGGTTCTATGCCAGTCCCTCTGCCTGGGGTTCCTTTCTCTCTGTCTTTGCTTGGCAGGCTCCCGAGAAGCTTTCAAATCAGAGTGCCTGTTTGAACCTCATACATGCAGTAAGGTAAGTTACATAGCCTCTGTGGGTCTTAGTTTACTCATCTGTGAAATGGGAAAATATAGTACATCTAGTTCTTAGGGTTGTTGGCAGGATCATACAAAATAATGCATGTAAAGAAATTGGTACAGAGGCTGGGGCACAGTAAGCCTCCACCCCTACCCCCACCCCATGTTGGCTCTTATTGTTCCCACTTCCATCAGCTTCTGTGCTACCTCTTCCTTGAAGCCTCCCAGACTGACAGGCAGGGTCTGAGCTCTGTTTCTTGGGTAGACTGCTTGGTTTATCTCTTATTCACACCTCAGGCTATACTTCAATTTATTTTTCATTCAATGACTAGTTCCTCAAGGGCAGGGACTGGGCTTCTTCCATCTCTGTCTTCTCAGCACCAGGCACCAGCCTGGCCCAGAGCCCATGCCCTCTACACCATGGCTGATTGACCCACTCAGGCCCTGGCAGATGAGACTCACCATCTTGCTGAAGTGGTATTTGCAGTAGCCGCAGTACTTGACATTGTCAACCTCCAGCACTTCTTCTTCACACAGCAGGCCTGCCATTTGGGCACTAACCAAAAGAGGTCAGCCTGAGAAGGGTGTGGCCACAAAGCAGACCAGCCTCGTCCCTTCTACCCTCCTGGATGCCTGCTGGGGCAAAGGCAATATGACCCAAGGAAAGCACTGTCATGATCACTGAAGAGACAGCCGCTAGGATGAGCCCATTGGGTGGCCATCCATGGTGAACTTCCCAGGGGGTTGGTACAGCTGGTCTGGGATCCCAGAGAACCCTGGAGCGGGAGATTTAGGGGCAGGTAGGGGTCTCACCAGGTGACATGGAAAGCTTGTCGACATCCATGGCGGTTACAGGTCATGCAGGCTCCCGAAGCTGCCTTGCTCTCCCGGCCCTGCTCCTCGCAGATGTAACATGTCTGCAGGACACAGTGCAATCGTCCCTTCCTCCCTTCCATCCTTTCCCATTATCCTCGGTTAGTGCTAGCCAACAGAACTTTCTGTGACGACGGGAATGTTCGATGCTGCACTATCCAGTACAGCAGCTATGAACCACATGGACTACTGAGCACTTGAAATGTGGCTGAGGAACTGAATTTTGAATAGTTTTTAATTTTAATTTACATAACCACATATGGCTGATGGCTACTATAATGGATAGCAAAGTCCTTGGATGGTGAGCCCTGTAAGGCCAGGACTGTGTCTGCCATGCTCACTGGTGAGCTTATTCCCACCCTGACTAGAGCCTGGAGTCCGCAAAGCTGGCTCCTTCTCATCCTCCAGGTCTTAGCCTAGATGTCTCTTTCCTTTACCACTTTATTTAAAGAAAGCCCCCCCCCAAAGAGGTATTCTTTATTTTCTTCATAGCACTTACCACAAATTGCATTTACTTTATTTGCCTGTTTATTGATATTTACAGTCTCCCCACACAAAAGTGTGAGTTCCATGGGGTAGGGAGCACATCTGTCTTGATGAATACTGAACACTGCGCCTGGGGGTACCTTGCCCCAGGTCTGACACATAGTAAGCACTCAATAAAATGTGTTCAGTGCATGAACAAATGAACTGCTTGCTAAGGTCTACCCTCTGGCAGTACTTGAATTCCAGAGTATGAGCATGTCTGTCAGTGAAAGGTGCCTACTCACTTCCTGAGTTCCCTGAAAGTGTCTGTTGGGCAGAATCAAATTACACTGGATAGAGAGGTGGAGGGACCCAGCTAGGGAGGGGACTAGTACGAGGGCACGGCAGGGGCCGCTGACCTTGTTGAAGCGATCATGAGGCACATACTGCAGCACGATGGGCTCCATGGTGAGCACGTTGGCAAACTGCACCTCAGGGATGTAGAGGGCACACACCACGTGGGCCCAACCTGGGGCAGTGCAGGGCAGGCCTCAGGGGCTATGGCAAGCCCGAGACCCTGACCCCTCACAGCCCCATACTGCATACAGTCCCCTCCTCCATGGCCTTCCCATCAGTGTTCAGTGCCAGCTGGGAAAGAGAAATCGAGCACCCCCCCACAGACACACACACTCAAGCCTCCCAGACCCTGCTCCGGGGGCCTTGCTGAGCTCAGCAGATGAGCCCTGGAGCTCAGGCCCCCCCCTCACCTCCATTGTCAGTCCTCTTCAAAGCCCCGTCTTTGTGTGGGCACAGCTCACACCTCTGCCAATGCAAGGGGCACAGGAATTGAGGGTCTTTCCAAAAGGGGTGGGAATCTGAACTACCCCCCCCAACACATTCAAAGGGCCCCAGGAGGCAATGATAAGGGGGAATGAGTTGTCTATGGGGGAATGAGTTGGGGTATAGAGGAAACTGGACTGGCCACAAGCTGGTATTTGTTGAAGATGGGTGATGGGAACATAAGGTTCCTTATAGTATTCCCTCTACTTTTGTACAGGTTGGAAACTTTCCATAATAAAAAACTCAAACAAACAGGCAAACAAAAATGAAAGGCCCCTTGCCTGAGATGAGGCAGAGTGAGGGATAAGCTGAAGGCAAGATGGGGTTGGTGACAGGTGTGCAGGAAACAGGAAGTCCTTAGTGACAGACCCACCCTAGTCTCATGTTCCGAGTCCCCTAGCTTAACCAGGGGAGATGCTCAGGTGTATGGGTGGGAAGAGGGAGGGGAGTCTCAAACTCACCACCCTGGCTGCTCGCTCCTGAGATTCACATTTCCGGCAAAACCAGGGTCCTGTTGGCACCTGGACGATGCCATAGCAAGCTGGGGGTGGGGGGAGGAGAGTCACTGAACAAATCTGTCAGCAGTGGCCTTTCCCAGAGTAATTGGGGGAAGGGGTTGACTCTAAAGGACTACAATCAGTTCCAGTAGGGGGGGCTGCTCCCCTGTCTGGGGGTCACTCACTAGCCAGCAGGACCACAAAGAATGTCCAATAGCGACAGGCCAGCCTTCAACCACACAACCAAGCACTCCAAGCAGGGACAGGAAGTCTGAGTCCTTGACCTTAAACTCTATAAGACCCTTCCCTATGCCCTCTCTGGACCTGTTTCCCAGCTTCTGCTGGAGATCAACAGAAAAAACTAGAGGGACAACATTACCATAGTCAAACACATTTGTGTTGTGTGTGTGTGTGTGTGAGAGGGGGGCATTTCTTAAAGGGCCAGTAAGGGAAGAGGCGAAAAGTCGGGGGTCCAGGGACCTCACTTCTGCCTCTAACTATAACAGGGCAGGTCAAAAGTCAAGGCCGAGGACAAATGACAAACAGGTAACCTATAGGAGAGTGGCAGGAAGAGCCCACAGCAACAGCCTTAAGGGCTGTCCCAGGAAGGGGGAGGGGGGCAGCTGGCTGTGCCAGACAGGCGGGAGATGCCAGCCTGCGCCCTCAGCAAGATTCCTCAAGGAGTTAACTCCCGAACCATGTGCTGCTGGGGGAAACTCCAAACCTCCCTCTTCTCGATTCCGGGCCCCCTGCACAACCTCTCTCCTATCCAAAGCTCTTTCCTGGAGGATTTTAGGAGTCCCCTCTCCCCTGGGACCCTTCTCCTCTCTTCCCAATACGCTCCTCCCAGTATCCGGAAGCGGGAGGAGTAATGACTCCCCCTTGACCTCTCCCTCCCGGAGCCGGGACCAAAATAACCGGGCAGGAGGGGACACCTCGTAGGTAAACATTCCCGCAACAGCCCCGACACTGGCGGTTCCAGGCGCGGAGAGTGCACTCATTGCCCCCTAGACTGTCTCCAAACTCCCTCAACTTGGGGTGGGGGGCGCGGGACTGGAACAATAGGCTAGAAAACAATGCCTGACCCGGTCCTCCAGGACAGGGCGGGGGGAGCCCCCCGACGCCTCCCTTCCCTTCAGGTGGGGTGGGGGAGGGGCGCCCGAGCCCCGGGAGGTCTCCGGAGGGCGCGGCCGAGGGCGCCCTGAGCGCGCCGCCCCCGGAGTCCCGCCGCCCCCCACGGGCCACCCCCGTACCTTGGTGGACAGCCACGCTGCACGCGTGCCCATCACAGTAGACCAGCGGATTCTCGGCCCAGCCCCTCTCGTCCGAACATACGCAGCAGCCTCCTACCATCTCCTTCATACTCCCATGAGCTCCCTCCGGGGCTGGGGCGGGGGGCCGGCCGGCGGGGGTCGGGGGTCAGGGGGGGAGGGAGGGAGCGGGGGGCCGCGCGCCTCCTCGCTCCCTCCTCCTCCTCCTCCGCCGCCGCCGCCGCCGCTTCTTTTCTTTGCCTCCTCCTTCCTCCTCCTCGGCGTCCTCCTCCTCCTCCTCCTCCACGCTCGCTCGGTCTGGCCGCCCCCCCCGCCGTGCTCTCGCCCTCATGCCCCGACGGGCCCCCCCGCCCCCCAACAATGAGAGCCGCGCGCCGGGTTCGCCCTCTCCGCGCCGCGCGCCCAGCTACCAGGGCCGCCCTGCCGCCGAGCAGCCCGGGCCCGGCGGGGGAGGCGCCGAGTGGCACATCGCGGGCGCCCGCCCCGCGCCGCCCGCTCACGCGCCGCCCCCCCGGCCCCCCTGCCCGGCCGCGGCAGCCATGGCCGCGCGCCTCCGCTTGCTCGCTCCCCGCCCGCCCGCCGCCCGCCGCCGGGTAAAGTCTTAGGTTCAGGGAACAAAGCCTGGCTTGGTAGGGAGCTTTTCGCTTGCTTGCTCCACGCTCATTTCCCCCTCTTTCCTTTTCTTTTAGTTCTTGTAGTTCTCAGTTGGCGCTCCTGAGCCCTCCCTCTGCTTGCCCTTCGGTCTCGGTCCCGGGTCCGATTCTCCAGCCTCCTCCGCCCAGGTCTTCGTTTCTGCGCTCTTCTTCAATCCCAAGGAAACTTGGGAATGGGGAGCAGGGGAAGGGGCGCTAGAAGGAGTAGGAGCGACGTGAGTCGCTCGCCCCTCTGTGTCTGGGGGCTCTTTGGATGGCCGCTTGTGCGCTCTTTCTTCGGAGGCCGTTCTGTAGGGTAGACCCTCTAACACGCAGACATTTGTTCATTCAACAAGTATTTATTAAATGCTTACTATGTGCAGCCGCTGGGTAGCGCAGTGAACAAAACAGGTATTCCTGCCCTCGGGGAGTTTCCGGTCCAGCTCGCAGACACTTACGCACGCACAAGGACTCATAACCCTAGGGGCACACGGAGGCACCCAGACACACAAACTCACTCCCAGCCTCATCCACCCACACCACTTGCTCCTCCCAGGGAGATACAAACCCGAGGTCCAGCCCTACAGGCGCGCTTAGAGACCCACAAGAGTTAGAGACTCACGCCTACGAAAGTGGTCTCAGACAACAGTTACACTTGACCTCTAGGCACGCACACAAACACACAACATAAAATCACACACAGCACCCCAAATAATTAAAGTATCTGAAATTGGGTCTGGGAAGAAGAGAGGGGGGTGTCAGCCTGAACTTTTCATCCCCAAGAACGGTGTGGGCAAAGAGGACAAAATCTGACACCCCCCCCCCCAACTTCCTAATGGGGGATTGACGCCTGCAGGGACCAAAGGTCACACTCCCTCATTGGGAGGTGAAGTGGTGGAGCTGAGAAGGCAGCTCTGGGGGGCATCAGCGACACTTCAAAGACTTCTCAGCCGGGAACGCTTCCTGAGGGGGAGGGGCAGACGGAGAGTAGAGGGGAAGACCCGCAGGGGACTGGGGATGGAGGAGACTGCCCCCCTGCCTTCCGCGCACCGCCCCCATGGCCAACTCTTCCGCCGGGACCGCCTCCTTTTCACTAGCACCTGTTCAACCGGAACATCAAGGGGACAGGGCCCGCCGCCACCCCTCCCTTCGGGTCTATTTAGTACCTTTCATCCAGGAAGGAAAGGGGGGGGGTGAATCCCCGCCTTGGAGGGGGAAGTACGGCGAGGGAGAACTTGTCCTTGACCTGGTCTGTGGCGTCAAAGATTTACTCCCTTAATCCCGGCAAGACTGGAGTTTGAGAAGGTTAAGGAAGATGAGTTCTGAGCTGCAGCCACTACCTTCCCTTGCTCCTGCAGGGACACGGGAATTGGAAATTCCGGAGGGCTGCCAGGATGAAGAGGTTCTGTTTAAACGGGCGGGGGGATGCCGTCTTTGCTGCTTCCGTGCCTAGGGGAAGGGGCCCGAGAGCCAGGGGATTGTTGGGGGCAAGTCTGAAATTTGGGATCGCTGCGAGGACTGCCACACGCGGGTGTCTTGGTCCGCTTTGTGAACTTCGCTCATACGAAAAGTTAAACAAGTCACAGACGGGAAGTCTCAGAAAATTACCTTTAGTGACAAGAATAAAACTTTAAGAAAGTGAAACGCAAAAATGTCAGCCCTAGCCATTAGCCAGTTTCGAAATATTTGAATATTTGCTTTCGGGACCGATCGCGGGCTGATGTGGCCGCAGTTTCAGGGTTTCGCGGGATGAGGGTCACTCAGAGGCCTGTCAGTCCCTGTGTCTAGGGGTGGAGGACCTGAGGACTGAGACCGGAGAGCCATTGTCTCAGGCCTCACCAGGTGCGGATGTACCTCCCGAAACTTGTGGGATGAACGCGAAACTTGTGGGATGAACGCGCGACGATACTTCTGCATTTAGTAAGTGTATTAGGAACATTGTTTCGTTTATTCCTCTCTACAATCCTTTGGGGTGGGTGTTAACATCCCCATTTTATAGATGGAATAACTGAGGTCCCAGAGGATGAAATAACTTGCCCAAAGTCACACAGTCAAAAAGAGGCAGAGCCGGGATTTGAACCCAGTCTGTCCTCTGCTAGGGCTGGGGCTCCACCACTACTTGTTTGCCGAATGCCTGTGTCGAAATCGGATGTCCGCAAGCCCATCGCAAAAGTTCTCTTCTGAGGTCTGGGGGAAAACGGTGCCCGGCGAGCTAAGCTGGATTCGCGGCGAGTACTCCCAAGGCTGAGCTGTCAAACCCATTCTTCCGCTTCCAATATTTTTCTGAGCACTTACTATGTGCCTAGCCACAAAAATTTTTTAAAAAGCAAAGCAAGAGCAGGACTCAGCCAACAAGTGGTTCAAATTCATCGTGCTCTCTTTGGTGTAACTGAGCACTGATTTAGGGTGTCACGCTGATCCAGGGTGTGCAGTTTTCGGCCAGTGAGTGACTTCACTTCTCAGAGGCTCAGCTTGTACCTCTTAAATGGAAGCGTTAACTGCTTCTGGCAAGAGCTGTAGGAAAGATTTAACGAAAATCCTTTTGTAAAGCGCTAAAGCACACAGTAGGCAGGCGCTCGACCTTGCTCGCCTCCTCTCCGCCCGGCTAAACTTGCCAGGGCAGCGCCTTCCCGCTCCCTCTTCCCGCCTCCGGCATCCACGCCTGTCCCGCGGCTAAGGGACTAGGGCAGAGGGGACCAAACAGAAAATTATTTCCGCTCGCTCGGCCCGCCCCGCCCCGCCCCGCCCCGCCCCGCCCCGCCCGTCCCCGGAGCCAGAAGGGGATTGTGGGGCAGCCGCGGCCGCTGCCGGAGCTGAGCGGGGCGGAAGCGCGCGTCGCGCTGCTTCTCGGGCCCGACCGCGCGGGCCCCCGCACCTCCCGGCTCGGGACTACGCGCTCTGGGCGCGAGGTCTCGGGGCTTGAGGCGGCTGCCTCGGCGCGCGTTTCCACGAAGCCTGGCCCGCGGGTTCCCAGAACCAAGCCGGGGAGGCTGAAGGGTGTTGGGGTTTCGCTTCTGTAGCCGGCCGGGCGCTAGGTTTCGCACGTCCCAGGGGCCGGAGACACACCCTCTCATTAGAAAGCCCCGTGCTTCGGGAAAGGACTGAGCTGGCGCCCGGCGGATTTGCGTTTCGTTTGCATACCGATTTCTTCCCCGAAAGCAAAGCTTCTGACCTTGGGGGTGTCCAGAGAGGTTAAGTTACTTTCCCGAAGTAACCCAGCCAGAAGAGGCTTTTCAGGTGATTTACCTGACCGTGTGGGAGAGCCTGGCGTGGCCTAATAGAAAAAAGAGGGGGCGCTAGAGTCAGGAAGACCTGGGTTCGAGACCTGTCTTCGCCACTTACTGGCTTTGACCATGAGTTAGTAATACCTTATCTGGAACCCTCGGTGTCCCCATTTCAGAGTGCGGACGGTAATGCCAAGTGAGCAATGACACTGTCAAGTGCCGGGCAGGGGGAAGGGTGAGGGTGATTTCCCCGTCAAAGGTTATGACTCGGAGGTGCCTAGTTGGGGTGCGAGGGTGGGTGTACTGATTCTTTCCTATGCAAGAGGGATGGATGCTCAGTTTAAAGAGGAACTAGTAGGAGTGAGGGGATTCCCCAGGCATCAGGCGGCCAGTCGTCATGATTATTGTAAATAGTGACTGCTGGGGTGGGATTTTTTTTCTCTCTCTCGCTACAAGGAGAGCACAGTACTTCGTGTCAAATCCTGCCTCTGCCATTACCTAGCAGTGTTACATAGCTTTGCTGCCAATCTAAAATGGGGATAATTGGATCCCCTCCTCTAATCTACAGGGCTTTGGCAACTCCAGACAGCAAGTTCCCAGCAAGAGCTTTAAGAGCTGTGAGTAAGCCCAGGTAGTCCCTTTAGGGAGTTAAGATGGGTAGAAAGGGAAGCTGTTCATAGTGTGAGGTAGCCATTTACCCAACCTTTCCCCAGAGTTACCTGGAATCTAGTTCCAGCCCTGCTCCTAACCAGCTGTGTGACCTTAGGCAAAGCAATTGCTCTCTCTGGCACAAATGGGTGACCAGATCTTGAAATTCCCCTTGGAGTTAACATTCTGTGGTTGATGACTTTGCTCCTGGGGAAGTTTCCAGGCTGAGGAATGACAGATGAATAGCATATTTGTCCTGCTGTGTTCCTCTTTTCCACCAGTTCCTCCTGAAGTCTAATCTTTATTCCTCCTGTTATAGTTACTATCAGAACAGACATTGAAAAAGTCGTATTATTTAGTCTTTCAGCAAACACTTCATTGAATCATCCCATAGGGGATACACAGATAGCACCTGGGATGGTGGTGATAGACATATAGAGAAATAATTTCCATTCAGGATCATGGTTCTAAGAACAATGCTGACATGGGCAAGAAGGAAGTAACTATGTTTATGGAGTCAGGGAAGGCCTGAGCTGGGTGAAGGAGGGTCTTTAGGAAAATAAGGAGCAGAAAAGCATTATTTAAAAAATTGTTTTTCTTTATTAATTTTAGAGAGAG